TTCATGTATAGAACCCATAAAAAAAATTTTAATCCAATCGAAATTGTGACACACAAATTCGTGTCCGATATGAAAAAGAATGTCTCATATATAGATTTGAAATAAAGCCTTTCCAACGTGAATTTCGATTCTTAATTTGAATACAACTTTTATACCGGTGGCAACCCTCTTCAGATACTCTTAGACTCCTTCGTTTGACATCTCTTTTGTCTGACACCCATATTCTGATCATACATATGTATATATTTCAATTACCTAATTGCCACAATTTAAGTTGAATTTATTTATGAAATGTGGCAACACTTTTAAATATATCAGTTCGCAAATAAAATATTTTCAACCCCATTTCGATTGATACCCATCTTTAATCATCCATTTAACCTACTAAATAATTTGAATTTAACTTTTTAAATAGGCAACCCTCACCAGACATCTCAGAAATATTCTAAATGTTTAATCTACGGATTTCTTAAACTCGTTCGTGTGACCCCATATTTTCATATTTCAAATAACTTGCGTATATATAATTCAATTAAATACGACTTTCCTGACCCTCTTCAAGGTATTTTTAAAATAAAACTCTTTTAAATACCTTTCATCTGGCACCGATATATGTATACCGATATATGTGGCTTAGATTAAATTTCATTTTTGTAAACAGGTGGCAACCCTCTTTAGTTAAAATAAGTTAATAGAAAAACAAATATTTTTAAAGCAAGCTCTTTAAATATGAACAAAATCGGACGATAAATACTGGTTTACCAAATATATCGACTCCTGCGCCACCTATCGGCAAAATTTTTAGTGGAGTTATTCGTTTTCATGTAATTAATATGGGTTCTAAATATCAACCGAATCGGACTATAAATACGGGATTTTCAAATATCTGGACTCCCGCGCCACCTAGCAGATTAATTCATCTTTCGTATTGCATTGTCATCGGGTTCTGAGCCAACTGTGAAGTTTCAAGCCTCTAGGTTATCGGGAAATTTGTCACAAATTGATTGCGAGTTTTACCCCCAAACAAACATATACATACAACGATCAAGTCAAACAAAAGCAAAAAAATTAAAGGCGGCTTGTAATAGTTGGAGACATTTTTTTTTAACTGATATCGAGTAAAACCAAAAAACTTATATGACATATAATAGGCAAATTTGAAGGAAATTTCATGACGACTTTGAAAAAAATTAAAAAATATGAATTAAAAGGACGTTTTTATACAAAATGGCCGCCAAAGTAATGCAAAGGTTAAAAATTCTTGAAATTTTGACTTTACAATACATAAAAACCATCCTTTTTCTAACATATACAATTAGCTAAAAATGCTACCTAGGTCGTTTTTCATTAGGGGTTTTCATTTAGGTGTGAGAATCTTTTTTTAGTACTGCCAATCACCTTCTTAACCCTATAACTCCACAGGGTTGAATTTTAGACCCCACCTCCCATACAATTATTTTTGCGCCTAGACCTCTCCTATCACCTGCCAAATGAAAACCACTTATCACTGGATACTCTGTATAGACTGAGTCTTCTTTGGCATAGTTAGAAACCAGTCCCCTTTTACACTAGTTGGAGCAAGTTCTCCATGGCCATGTTGAAGCCTATGTTTTTCTTAGCACGCTTTTATATTGATATGATAACAGTACATAAGAAAAATATTTATATGGGTAATTAGTCTTAATTCTCGCCTTAAAATAGATAACTTCGCTCCCGACACAGGGACCTGCCGCACTCAAAACATATACTAACATCGGTCCACAGACCGTTTCACTGAAAAAGGTGTAAAACACAAGATAGCAGGGATCAAGCTACACCGACATCAAAAAGCTTACTGATCAACTGAAAGGCATACAAAGGAAATAAGTTCAAAAATCTAAACACCGTTGTACAAAAAGCTTTAAGAATGTGTTCGGTATGTGAGTAATTACAGTCGGAGTACAAGAAACAAGCCTAAAATAGGACATTGAACGAACAGCAGAATCGGATTATCCTGACTAAAATGATTGCCATAAAATTTTGGAGAACAGCGAAATGCTGGCCGTAGGACTAGACGCTGGCCTAAAGACAATTAAAACTGTTTAGGATATTTTCCTTTTAGAATAATATGAATCTGATAGGCAAAAGAAAGCCAGTCAGGGTTTTATTTCTGATATTGAAATCTTATAGTTGCCAATATGCTTACGACATCTTAAATTATCCCTTATCCGAAATTAATTTCAATGAACAATTAAATTAGACTTTTTTTCTCATTCATTTTGAAATTTGTGTTAGTAAAATCCATGATACAAAAAAGAAGGTAGTTTCATTGTCACTTTTCGGGCGCCATATCAACTACCTGACAATTAAGCAGATTGTGACATTTCGTGCTGCTATATCTAGTCCTCAATAATAATTTATTTATTGTAAAAAAAATATTTANAATTAAGCAGATTGTGACATTTCGTGCTGCTATATCTAGTCCTCAATAATCATTTATTTATTGTAAAAAAAAAATATTTACAAAATTAAAAAGAAATTTCGATATGCGCAGAAACGAAAATTGAAATTCATGATATGATAAATATTATAGTTATGGACGATAGGAGGTACTCCCGATTGAAATGGCACTCAGAGTCTGGAAGTAAGTAGTGTGTTAAGTGCAGCTTGGCCGTCACGTAAACTACTTCCGCTCTACTATTTTCCACCCTGTAGTCCATATCCTTGAGGATTGCAAATACCTCAGCCTAGAAGACCGAAGCATACTTGCCAAGAGAAAAGTTAATGACGGTAAGTGCAGCAGTGCATCAAGAGCAACGCCACGTATTGTAGCGAAATATTTCGTACAGCACACGGCAGTAGTTCTTTGAAGTTTTGCAAGCATACCTCCCACGCTCTTGATTGAGAATCTGCTCCACCATACCACTGACGCATAGATAATTATGGGTCTGATTATAGAGGTATAATTCCATGGTGACACACCCCACGTTTTGCCAAAGACCTGTTTACATTGCCAAAATGCTGCCAATTCTTTAGAAGTTTTGTGTTCCACAATAGATTTCCACGATAGTTTTGTATACAGAATTACTTCTAGATACTTCACTTCAGGAGAATTCTGAATTTTGGCTCCTTTAGTTGTGAGGGAAATGAGACCATTCAACCTTCTCCGAAGCCTGGTTTCGGACCATGCTTTAATGACGAAACATCTAACAGTTTTGTTGTGTAAATACATTTATTTTGTTTAAAATAAAATAAAAAAAGCTTTTTAATAAAATTAGTTATTATAAATGTTTCAAAACTGGATTTTATTTTATTTCTTCATCCCTGCACATCGATATTATTCAAACGTTCAAATTTGATTATCGAACACATCAACTTGCTTTTTTTATGTAAATTTTACTCTTTCATTAAATTCCAAATATTTAAAAGAAAATCTCCCCTCTCAAAAAATTTCAAGGTGGCAAAGCTATGTTTAATGTTTACATCTGGAGAAATGTCAAAAATCTGCTTTATAATCAAAAAATAGTACACGGTCAAAAATTTGGGTTTACTTTTTAAACCGCGCTGGGAGTACTGCCTTTTTTAAACTTTTATAGTCTGCTTTTTAAACCAGTCAATAGTTTTACGCAATTTTTAATATATTCTGGTTTAAATTTTAGCCCAAAAAGTTCGTGGTTTAATAATCAAACCAAAATGTTTTAATTCTAGTTTCTAGGTTTCATATATAGAAAATTTGGTTTAAAATCTAAACCGAAATAGAATATGTTTGCACAGCGAATTGTGGTGTTTATTCAAACTCAACATATGAAAGCACATTTACATGCGTGGCTGTAGCTGAGTGTGCAAAGATGCTTGATACAATTGGTTGCTACCAAGGCTGTCCGGGTTCAATCCCAACCAGACGGAGCATGAAATTTAAGATTGTTTTTTTTTTTATTGTTAATTATGAAAATGTTTGGGTTTAACATTTAAACCGAATTGTTTAAATTCTAAACCCAACATATGTGCTCNGAAACTACTTTCTTTTTTGTTTGTTTGTTTGTGAATAGAAAGGGCCTTTTCACTACATTTACAAAAACAACTTTCGAATAATTTAGTAAATGCACCAAGCAGTTAAAGTTGAAAATCATATTGAACTTATTCTGTTGAGTGGGACTGTAGATGACACTTGGAAAATCCTGCAATCTGTACTGTCTATGGCTGTAAACCACTTTTACTTCAATCTTTCATTTCTTACATTTACATTAAAGTATACATATGTTGTTCCCTTTTTTTGAGACCCGAACACTATTGTTTCAGCACTTGATAGAATCAAAGACATCAAATATGTAGAGGCAATTCGAAAAGGTCAAGGCACAGAAGACTTTCAGATTGACATTTTCGTTAATTTTAAATTACTATTTTAATTATAATTCATTAATTTATCACCAACAGGAGCGTTTGCGCTTGAAAATCATTGAACGTCTACTGAAAGAAGGTTCCAATGCCGATGAACCCCTTAACATTCCGCTTTCCGATTATTCAAGGTAAGTTTTTCAAAATACCATTAAAATCAATGTAACCCGCGGATCCCCCCACACCTCTACAGCGACGAAGGAGGCGTGTCCAGCTCAGAGAATGAATGCCGCGGCTCGAGTTTTTCTGACTTGGAAGGACCCTGCTGCGCTCTAACCAGAGCACCACCGTCTACACCAGAAGCAGAGGTACAAAGTCGGCGGGTATGTACTACCTATCCTCACAGCACTTTGTATCCAAAAATCCCGTCCTTCATCCCAATCCCGAAATTTCCTTGAATTGCACAGCATAAAATAAACCGCATGCGTCGTGTTATGCACGAACTCGATCGCATCTACTTCCAACCTTTATTCCAAATNCCTCACAGCACTTTGTATCCAAAAATCCCGTCCTTCATCCCAATCCCGAAATTTCCTTAAATTGCACAGCATACAATAAACCGCATGCGTCGTGTTATGCACGAACTCGATCGCATCTACTTCCAACCTTTATTCCAAAANAAAATCATTGAACGTCTACTGAAAGAAGGTTCCAATGCCGATGAACCCCTCAACATTCCGCTTTCCGATTATTCAAGGTAAGTTTTTCAAAATACCATTAAAATCAATGTAACCCGCGGATCCCCCCACACCTCTACAGCGACGAAGGAGGCGTGTCCAGCTCAGAGAATGAATGCCGCGGCTCGAGTTTTTCTGACTTGGAAGGACCCTGCTGCGCTCTAACCAGAGCACCACCGTCTACACCAGAAGCAGAGGTACAAAGTCGGCGGGTATGTACTACCTATCCTCACAGCACTTTGTATCCAAAAATCCCGTCCTTCATCCCAATCCCGAAATTTCCTTAAATTGCACAGCATAAAATAAACCGCATGCGTCGTGTTATGCACGAACTCGATCGCATCTACTTCCAACCTTTATTCCAAATGAAATTCCATGGTTTTATGCGTTTTAAATGGTCCAAATCGAAGCGCACCAACAAGAAGGGCTCAAAAAAGAAGAGTTCAAGTAGTGTTGATGAAAATGCAAAGTCACAAACGCGAAGGCTCGGCGGTGGCATTGAAGGAAATGATACAATTAACAAGAAAGAAAAGATTTTTAAGGATGCGGTTGATGGCTCATCGCATGAAAGTGTATCGGTGCAATCACCATGTTCTGCATTAAATGCAAATGGTTCAGAAGATTGTGCATTCCTATCGGCCGAAGGTGGCACCGATGAATCGAAACCAGATTGTAGAAAAGTGTCCCGCAAATCTCATAGCACCAAAAAAAAATCCCAGGGCTCGCCAGCTTTGAGGGAACCACCACAAGCTCCACGCTTGGTTGTTTCAAGAAAACTTCGTATGTGGTTGGCGGATAGACAAATTTTCATCTACCGCAGGAAGCGAAAGGTAAAATATCTATGCACATGGTGCTGCACTACTTATGTGTCGAATTATGGTACATTGTTGCATAATTATGGAAAACGGTCTGGGGGGTGCTTTTTTTCTGCTCCAATTCAGTTTCTTCCAGCATTTGTATCCATGCAAACGACATGGGCAAGGCAACGGAGCCGCTACACTATAAGGCTAATCATGAATTTTCATTCCGTGTGAACTCGTTCCCATTTCGCGCATGCAGTTCGCCTATTATATGTTGAATATTCACCAAGAGAAGTGGTGCACTTCGAATCATTTTCTCACTATTGGATAGCGAATTCAATGGTGAAATAACAATATCGATTATTACATCGATAAGCCACGAGATATCCGAACATCTCTACAATTTTAAAGTAGTTCCCAGATTGACTCTGTGTATCTATCTAGTATATCCTTTTCTCTATAAATAACTTTATTTTAATCTCTCTTCCGCCATCTTCATCAATACTTTTATCGGTATCCTCATCCTCGTCTTTTTCTTTATATTTATTGTTGTTTTTGCTTTTATGTTTATCATTTTCTTCATCTATATATTCCCTTCACCTTTGCCCTTATATAAGTAAAGTGCTTAAATTTACCTTAGTCNCCACCACAAGCTCCACGCTTGGTTGTTTCAAGAAAACTTCGTATGTGGTTGGCGGACAGACAAATTTTCATCTACCGCAGGAAGCGAAAGGTAAAATATCTATGCACATGGTGCTGCACTACTTATGTGTCGAATTATGGTACATTGTTGCATAATTATGGAAAACGGTCTGGGGGGTGCTTTTTTTCTGCTCCAATTCAGTTTCTTCCAGCATTTGTATCCATGCAAACGACATGGGCACGGCAACGGAGCCGCTACACTATAAGGCTAATCATGAATTTTCATTCCGTGTGAACTCGTTCCCATTTCGCGCATGCAGTTCGCCTATTATATGTTGAATATTCACCAAGCGAAGTGGTGCACTTCGAATCATTTTCTCACTATCGGATAGCGTATTCAATGGTGAAATAACAATATCGATTATTACATCGATAAGCCACGAGATATCCGAACATCTCTACAATTTTAAAGTAGTTCCCAGATTGACTCTGTGTATCTATCTAGTATATCCTTTTCTCTATAAATAACTTTATTTTAATCTCTCTTCCGCCATCTTCATCAATACTTTTATCGGTATCCTCATCCTCGTCTTTTTCTTTATATTTATTGTTGTTTTTGCTTTTATGTTTATCATTTTCTTCATCTATATATTCCCTTCACCTTTGCCCTTATATAAGTAAAGTGCTTAAATTTACCTTAGTCTTTATTTTTGCCTTTATCTTTACGCATCTTTGTTTCTGTTTTTATTTTACCTTTGCCTTTATCCTTTTTTTATCTATGTACATACTCACCTTTATTTACTTTCATTCTTGTATTGGTCTTTTTCTAAGTGTTATTCTTAAACCCTTTATTAGCAAGTTTTTGTTTCCGTCCCAACCATTTCCGTTGCACCATTTCTGTTGCACTATTTCCGTGTACAACTTCCGCTGAATTTTCCAATTTATTCCCAACAAACCAACCGCCGCTAAAGAAATTTCACTTCAAAAAATCTTGAATTCCATGCTCCGNCCATTTCCGTTGCACCATTTCTGTTGCACTATTTCCGTGTACAACTTCCGCTGAATTTTCCNTTTTCAAGCACTATGTAGATATATGTCTTGTTTTTAAACAAACGTTTTTGCTGAGAACCATATTGAATTAAAGGAACCAACACTGAAGTGAGTCAAAATGAAAATAAAAGAGCACAAATTCTTATGTAAAGCAAAACTCGCTGACCGGTCATCTAAATGGGAGATCTGCAGTCTTTTAGCATCATATTTTACATCAGAATTGAAGGGATTTCGGAAAAATCTGACCAGTTCTTTTGAGTAACTGTGATTTTGCATACCTTGTCAACATATGGCCTCGGTTGATGTTAAAAAATTGAAGGCAAATTTTTACAGCATTTTTTATGTGTATGGTTTCTATTTGAGTGTATTGAGAATCGGTCAGTCTGAAAAGGCCTTGTAGGGAAGATAATAGGTTTGTTCGTCGCAAATCCAGCGAGAATTATCACTCAAAATATCAGAGAGTAATAGTAATAANTATCTGAAATCAATAAAAATATTTTCCACAAACATTATGGTAAGTATATAGCGATTAAAAGTTCCCCTTCGGACATTCCCAAAATATTCCCAAAATGGAACTCGTATCGAAGATGACTGATAATTTTTGCTAAATTCTGCGAATCTGTTAATGTTACAAAAAAAAACGATGTATGAATGGTTGTTAGAATAATAAGCAGCCATAACCATTGCGTCAACCTAAACTTCCTAACGATGTTTAGTAGCTGCCAAAAACTGTTCAAAGTTGTTTCGACATTCCCGTTCGGACGTTCCGATTTTTTCCAATGGATCAAATTTTTTGTTTGAGAATTTAAACACATTTAAATAAATCTACATCTACATATATGAAGGCCTTATTGCCATTCGTTGAAGTCATTTCTTCGTACAAGCAGACGTACGTAACGACGCCTCCAAACCATACTATGCTAAATCTAAGCTGACTTAGCATAGTATGGTTTGGAGGCGTTGCTTACAAAATTGAATATACGGTTTTTTTTTGTTAATATTCTTAATATTTTACACGCTTTTTTTTTTGTATTGAAAAATGGCTTATATTTGAGCAAACCCCATTTAAATCCAAACATGAATCTGTCTCCGAAAATTATGAAAAATCTGCAGAGCAAACTTTTTAACAAAAATTTCTAAAAGAAAATCGGGTATGCAGTTTCATAGCCCATTCAGTTTTAGTATAATAATATGCAAATTTCAAGTGTATAAACAATTCTCAAAAATTATCGTGAATTTTTTGGCAATTTCGCTGCAACTTTGCAGATTTTACATAATTTTCGTACATCGTTTCACACTTGCATTTAAAAGGGATTTGCTAAAATTAAGCCATATTTTAATGCCAAATTAACGAAAAAAATTTGCAAATACTAACAAAAAACTTATACTCAATTTTGTGAGTAACAGTACCTATGTACATAGCACAATATGAACAAAAGTTATTTGAAGCGTTCGGGCTGCCATACTCCTGAACGCTTCGACCAGGACACTTATCATCCAAATAAAAAACGAAGATACAAGTGAATATGGTGCCAATATATTCCCTATAATTACAGTTTCTTTGATTCTGATATTATAAGCAATGTAGTTTTGTGGCACAATCCCTAGACTTCAATGATTGATGGTAATGAAATGCTCAAGTACTGAATTTTTTCCTATCATAAAAATAACAAATTTCTCTTGACGGTAACGTACCACCATTAGCAAATTTCCGCATATCCAACAACGCACTTCATGATCCATATTTGCCATTTTATATATGTATGCATAACCTGAAGATAATTTAGGTATGCTGTCTTAAGTGAAGCCATTCTAAAGCTAAGTATACACGGTAGGGTAGAGAAAAAACGCGAGATTTAGACAAAAATAAATATAAAATAAATTCCTTAAAGAAGTATGATTTTTATGAATTAAGAAAAAATTTTAAAAGAACTTCTTCAGAAGACGTACTACAAAAGCCCTTCTGAAAGCTCTTTTTTGAGTAGCGAAAGCAGAAGCCCTTCAGTTTGTCCCACTCCATACAAAAAATGAAGGAGAAAGGAAAAAAATGCCTTTTTGATGAGATTTTAGCTCCTGAAATTACCTTCTGAGTAGTACTTATGTATGACCCTTCAGTCGTGTACCTGATCAGAAACTTGCACTTTTTTGGCATTTGCCTGAAAAAAGAGGTTTTAACCAAATAAACTAAACAGAAAGAAAGTAAGCTCACCAGATATTCAACATGTTTGGAAAAACGTTTCGTTATCAATTTGACAGAAAGCTTAACCCTTTTTTTTATAGCAAAATCTGCTATAAATTAGAGGAGTGTCTGCATTCACCTTCATTAAAAAACCAGGACAATTTAAGTGTGGACCAGGACACCAGGACAATTTGTCTAAGTCACAATCTTACTTACAATCGATAATCCTATCGGTTTCCGAAAGAAATTTTATGCGACTGGCAAGAGTAACTAAAACTAGCTTTCGTATTAAAGTTTTGCCAAATAAAGTAAACGTTACGACTCTTTTTACATTTAAAGTGTATTTTACGTCCGAACGCTTGTAACTTAACTTTAGACCGTACCTAATATATTTTTAAGTTGTTTTTGTTGTAAGGTTTACAGAACATAAGCTATACTAAATTTTTGTATACATGGATTTCCAATTCTTTTTAATCGTGTGCAACAATTATGAAGGATATCTGGAAGGTATGGTATCTCCGAAAAACAGAAAAATTTAAAGTTCAGTTAGAAAGCCGATAATATCTTGAAATGGAATGGACTCATTATTTTTTCTATTCTTTTGGTATTGGTTGAAACTTTTCAGGAAATACTCATATGTACATTTATTAATTGGAATGGACGAATTTATTAAAGCAACTAACTTGGACATGATTCAATTAAAGTATGTACTTATTAATTTAAACGCTCGCTCAAAATTTTAAATTTTTGATTTATTTTCTGATTCATAAAAACATCGACAAACATCCATGCTTGAAGCCACAAGTGTGATAGCTATTTCAATTAAATGGAAAATTAAGTTGAATTTGACTTTTAAATTAAATGGCAAACCTTTTCTTATGGATATAGTTTAAGGGCTGTTTCAAGCTCAAGAAAAGCGATAAATTCAATTCAATTAAATGGAAAATTAAGTTGAATTTTACTTTTAAATTAAAGGTTTGCCACCTTTTCTTATGGATGTAGTTTAAGGGCTGTTTCAAGCTCAAGAAAAACGATAAATTCATATACATATGTACAATGAATACATATTTTGTTCTAGTGATATACTGGTAATCGATACAGTTATGAAATTTGGGCATGTCATAGAAGAAGAGGTAGCGGTAATTTCTGCATACTCAAC